TGTCGTAGCATGTATAAATTAAAATGCATATGCTAACATAAATAAATAAATGATCCTCTGTCCTTATCTTCTCCAGTTCTGTAAAGGCAATAATATGGAGTACCTGACTGGTCGGGTTTGGATCGGTTTTTGGCTCATCATCATCGTGGTGGTGATGGTGGCCTTTGAGGGCAGCTTCCTGGTCCGTTTTGTCTCGCGTTTCACCCAGGAGATCTTCTCCGTCCTCATCTCTCTCATCTTCATCTACGAGACCTTCTCAAAGCTGGTCAAGGTAGTTTGGATCATCTTTTGATTGTGTTTGTCATCATATATGATTGTGAAGTCCTCTTGACTGCTGATGTTTTCCACAGATATTCCAGGAACATCCTCTGAGACGCTGCTCTGCTACGGTTGTTGATGTTAACAGCTCAACATATAACTTAAGCATAGAGGATGTCACTTCAAGTCCATTAGCATCAAACAGCAGTACTCCAGAGACGGTGAAGGTGGTCGGTGAACCTAATACTGCTCTGCTTTCCTTGGTGCTCATGTCTGGGACCTTCTTCATCGCCTTCTACCTGCGCAAGTTCAAAAACAGTGCCTTCTTTCCTGGCAGTGTAAGATGCTATCAGATGAAGTGAAACCAATATTGAGTGATTAGAACATTACAAAGGAAAGTAAGGTATAATAAGTCAATTTGGGTCTTTTTTACAGCTAAGAAGAGTTATTGGAGATTTTGGAGTTCCTATTGCCATTCTTATCATGGTTCTGGTAGACTACAGCATTCAAGACACACACTCACAGGTGAGAATGGATAGTTGTCAATTTGCAGGTGATTTGAAGAAGTTAAAATCAAGTAAAGCTAGCATTATTATTATTACTATCACTCATATTTCATGTTAGGTACCCTAAATATTAAAATTTGATGCTTAAACCGGCACTGTTTGTGCTATAGTTTTGTTGACAAGAGGTGTTATGTTTTTGTTATGTATTTTATAAGCAAAAATACTTTTTTTTTTTTTT